CACTCCTCCCCAAGCCTGTAGCGTCGCATGGGGTTGTTGTGTCCGAAGTGCAGGAAGCGGCACTTGGCCTTGTTAAACCTCATACAGTTGGCCGCGGCCCATCGGTCCAGTCTGTCCAGGGGCCTCTGCAGGGCCATCCTACCCTCCAGCAGATCAACACTCCCACCCAGTTTGGTGTCATTTTCTCTGATCCTGAATCTGAGGATACCCCAGGAGCTCTATGTGAATGAATTTTGCTGAGTGAGAAGTGGCAGGGATTAGAGTGTTCTCACTTAATCATTGAAGATCTCTGTCTAGAAGTAGTCTCTGTGTTCATTCTTGTGTCCTTCCCAGATGGAGCTTGGAATACTAATTTCTCCTATAACACTGCCTGCAACTGCAAACTTTCAAATGGCTACAAACATGGGTTTTTGAGTGTTCGCTACTGTTGCATAGTTCTGACACTTCATGTTAAATAGAATGATTGTCAATTATTTGAGCTGCTAGTCTGCATCGACCGTTTTCTTTCTGAAATACTCAAGGATACATAGGAAAGTTATGATAGATTTAGGACTGTGCCTCTTCTAGTAGAGACCTACAGCATGTATCTGAAATTGGAGATTCCTTGACTGATTACATAGCTTGTATAATCTGCTTTGTTGTGAGCAGGCGCTTCTTTGAAATTAGATTTCTGGAGTGAGTAATAACCAAACCATAGTGACTTTCTGTAAACATCCTAGAATTATATGAAAATAAATTGCTGAACTCAGCAAACATTTCTGCCTCTAGAATATTTGGTTGTTTTTGTTAAAAAAAAACAAAACAAAACACTGTGAAGCAGGAACAGAACAATGTAGTGACAGAATGGGAATAAACTTTCAGCGTCTACTCTGTCCTAGTACTTAATTGTTGTCAGAATCTTTTGCTCCACATATAAGATTTTCTTGAAAAAAAAACCAAACCAAAACAAAACAAAAAAAACCACCCCAAAAGTAAGATTGCATTCCTGAGAAGTTGTCTCCACTTTAAGGCCTGTTGGCAGCGTAGTGTTCTCAACTGTAGGAGTTTAGGAGGTCAGAATGGATTCTGCTGATGAATTCTACCTTCTTCCCTGCACTGTTTTTGGGCAAAGGACTTGCTGTCCTAATCCTTCCTGCTCCAGACCAGTTTAGATCAATGGCATAAAATAGATTGTGGCTTGTGAAATGTGAGTTTGGTAGTGCTGTTGTCTTGTAGTTGGTATAACCTAAGTCTCAAACACTGAGGTCTATTTCCTTGTAAGACAGTAAACAGAAAACAGTTGGTCTAGAATACTTATCCAGGTAGAAGCAATAGGCTGTAAATTGACAGACGGACTTGAGAAATAATGAAGTAAAGCTTTTTTGAGCCTGAAGTTTGTATGAAAACCTGTATATTGGCAGAATTTTAGAGAATGGAAAGGATCAAGACTGTAATTATTGGACAAATGAAGTCACACTCTAAAAATGCTGCAGAGATGTTCTGAAATTCTTTGTTTTGGCCCTGTGTTGCTTACCCTTTGTGTGTCTCCTTTTCTTTCTATCCTTAGGGAATTCTTGTGCTTTCTTACACAGTGCTTTAAAGGCTTCTTTCTCTGGTCTAGTTTTGTAACAGTTTTTGCCCTCCTTGCTGCTCCTTTTAGGCAGAGATATCATTGGACTGGCAGAAACTGGCTCTGGAAAAACAGGAGCCTTTGCTTTGCCAATTCTTCAAGCACTGCTGGAAACACCTCAGCGATTATTTGCTCTTGTCCTCACACCAACAAGGGAGCTGGCCTTCCAAATCTCAGAGCAGTTTGAAGCTCTTGGATCCTCCATCGGTGTCCACACTAGTAAGTAGCTTTGTGATATTGGAGCAGTTTTCCTGAAGACTTGATGTTTGTCAGCTCTAGATTGCAAAGGAAAAAGTAGAGAGTACTTGTATGGAGAGTTGCACAAAAGGTGATAAAAGTTTGTGATGCTGGAAGACAGAGATCTGGTATCAGATTTGGGACAGAAAGACTGTGTGGTCTTTCCTTATGGAGTATTCTGCAGCTCTTCTGCATTTTATGTCCAAACAGTTAAAGATGGAAGCAGGAGAGTATCTTCTCAATAGTAAGTTTGTGTCCAGTGAAATTGCATAGAGCTCCACTCCATAGTGTGATGTAGTTTAATCTTTCCTTCAGACTGTCTGTATTGTTTCTTTAGATATTCTCTGCAAACATAAAAGTTTTGTGGGTATTTTTAGAATTCCTAGATTTTTGCAGCTGAGTTAAGCTGCAAGGAATAGATTCTGCCTCTGGCTCTTCAACTGTGAAAATAAAATACTTGGGGCCAGTAAGGACTTAATTGTATGGCTTAAGAGGCCTGGGAAAGTCACATGTGCTGAAATAAAGTGAATGCTCATAAAGATAAGTAGCCTTTCATTTGTACACAGTTGTTGTGGGTGGCAGGGAGTAGGAGGAAACACTGTCATGCCAGGGGCTGGCTGGTGCTACACTGAGAGATTCTCTATATTCTATTTGTCCTGCAGCGGTTATTGTGGGTGGAATAGACACGATGTCTCAATCTCTGGCCTTAGCCAAGAAACCACATGTTATAATTGGTAAGTTAACGTGCAGGGGGTATGGGATATGAATGTTATCAAACTGTCATTGTCCAAAGAAAGAGTGCCAAAAGGTTTTGTGCATTTGAAGGGGAAGTGAGAGTACATCCTTCATTTGTTTTTGTCCTGAGATCTGAGTACTGGCTTGTTAGTGTTTCTAAAGTATACATACACCAGTAGCCTTGCTGCTAGAAGCTCATTCCAAAGCCTTCCTGATAGACTGACTCCTGCTAGACTGCCTTTGGCTTGTTTTTTTCATTCTCCTCAAGTATTCCGTATGCTGGTCTCATTGTTCTCAGTACAGCTCGTCTACAGTCTGTTTTGTTTTGCCTTTTTTTAGGGGGAGAGGGGGAAGGAGGGCATTCTTCAGAGTGTGACTCCATTAGTCTTATTTCAAAACACTTTGAAGATACCCTATGAAAGAGTCCTTCCCACAAAGCAATCTGCCTTTACTTCTCTTGGGCAAAGAATCCCATTTCTGTAACAGATGACTCTCTTGCCTCTTTGGGTCTTTTCTTTTGCTTTTATTCTAAATTTGGTCTCGTGATTTTGTTGGTAGCAACCCCTGGCCGTCTAGTTGATCATCTAGAGAACACAAAGGGCTTCAACTTACGAGCTCTGAAGTTCCTAGTGATGGATGAGGCTGACCGGATCCTTAACATGGATTTTGAGACAGAGGTAGGAATCTGCTAAAAGAAGAATTTGGAACGTCAGATGAGTCTCTTTAAAATTGCTTCATACAGTCACATAGTAAACACTGAGCTGTTCTGTAGAAATTAATAGCAAATTGTAACTAAGTTCTAATAATTGCACAGAAGTCTATGGTGGGAGTAGAACTTAGCAGAGTTCTGCAGAGCACTGGCAAGACAGTAGGAGGCATTTTGTCTCTGAAATCTACTGGTTTTGCTGGAGCACCTGACATTGACACAGTTACTGTAGAACACAATCACACACATGTTCCTGCAGGAATATTGGCTGGTATTTGCACTGCTATTGGACTTCTGGAGTTCGCAGTGCCTGATTGTCAACAAGCTATCAGCCTACACCTTCCCTTTAGAAGAGAGGAAATTTTTTCCTACTATGAGTCTTAAGTTGCGCACATGCGTTACTCTTCATTTGGATGATCATTGTATTTGGAGGAGGCTTGTGTCTTGATTGCTCTTATATTCAGCATTTCAATTTCCTTTCTGTTTTTACAGGTGGATAAGATATTAAAGGTGATTCCTCGAGATAGGAAGACGTTCCTGTTTTCTGCTACCATGACCAAGAAGGTGAGAGCAGAGTACTCTGCTTTGGTTCTCCTTCCATAAGGCTATCCTGTTGACTGGACTATATGATACATTTTTCTGACAAGATCTGTGTCTGTCTAGTACTAACTTACATTGATCTTACCAGGTTCAAAAACTCCAGCGTGCTGCTCTGAAGAATCCTGTTAAATGTGCTGTTTCTTCCAAATATCAGACAGTTGAAAAACTACAGCAGTACTACATTTTCATCCCCTCCAAATTCAAGGTAATGCCACTTCTGTTTCTTCCCTCTTCTGATTGTGTCTTGTCTTGCCATTCCCACATCTGCCCAATATCTTGTCATCATCTGTGACTTACACTTACTCTTTAATGTGGCATATGTGATTATCTCTTCCCGCCCCCGGCCCTCATCTCTTTCTTTACAGGACAGCTACCTGGTTTATATCTTGAATGAACTAGCTGGAAACTCTTTCATGATATTCTGTAGTACGTGTAACAATACTCAGAGGACTGCTCTACTGCTCCGCAACCTGGGGTTCACTGCCATTCCGCTCCATGGGCAGATGAGTCAGGTATGGGCATACCCCACAGAATGGAGTAGACAGGAGACCTGTTGTTTGGGAAATGGGCTGCACTGTACTGAGCCACAGCTACCTTGCAGAAGGAGTATTTCACAGATAGTGGACTGGACTGATCCCTAGAAATTTAACTAATGTGCATGCTGCCACTGATTCTGTAATAGTTCAAAAAAAAATTAGAGAAGTGAGATTTTTGAGTAGTTTCTCCCCCACTTCTTCTGTACCAGTATTTCAACAAAAGCGTATTAACTAGAATGAGCATTATTTTCTCATTCCCTCTTTGTCCTCTTCTCTTCCAGAATAAACGCTTGGGCTCTCTAAACAAGTTCAAGGCAAAGGCACGTTCTATTCTGCTGGCTACTGATGTTGCAAGCAGAGGTCTGGACATCCCACATGTAGATGTGGTGATAAACTTTGATATTCCTACGCACTCTAAGGTAGGCTAGTCTGTGTGCCAGCTGAGAGCCTCTGGTCACCGGGAGGCATAGTGAAGCTATACAAAGGACACGTTCTCTCTGTTCTGCTGACTGGAAGTCTAGTTCACACTTCTGTAGATTAAAACATGTAGTTCAGCCTCTGCAGTTGAGCTGTTATCTCTGTTTTGTTGGGTGACCTCATCTGGACTGTAGAACTGATAGCCTAAGTGAAGAGGGGAATTGAGGGACATTCTGTGTCTTTGTGTTTCTGCTCAGAGTATGTGTTTTGCCATATTGCATTAAAGGGCTTCTAGACTTTGAAAATAGTTTTAACATATTACTAGTTTCAGGTAGTCATCTCTGTTCCTGTGATCCTGGTCTACCTTCATATTTTAGGCTGTGTTTAAAAAAAGAAAAAAGTAAAAAATCTCCCATTATGTTCAATAAGGATTTGATCAAGAAAGCTGTCTTTAATATGTTTCACCTTCATATCACAAAAGTACAGGAAACTGGAAAAAAGTGAGTTACTAACTTTCTACCTTATAGAAAGTATAGTGTTATCTTAGGGGTATGACTTTGTTTCCCAGCCTAGTATCAGAAAGCATAACATTAACATGCATTTCAGGAATTGCTGCTGTTCCTTATAATGATCAAAGATGCTACATGTTGCAAACAGAAGAAAGTATGGTGGTTCTTTTGAAGACAGACAATTGTAAAAGGACAAAAGTTTTTTTTTTTAAAAAAAAAAAACAAAACAAACCCAAAAAAACAATGGTGGGGGCAGCTGCTTGAATGACATCATTACAGTTTTTGTGCCCCTCCCTCTCCTCTAACCATGTCACGGAACACATCTTTTCTCATGATGCTTCCTTTCTCCACAGATCCTGCATGGAGAAGGGAGTATTTTAATTTCCATAATGCAGTATAAAACCTGGAAAACAGCCTAGCACCATATAAACAGAAGATGCTCAATAAATCAGACGCTTCCAAATTGTTCTCATTCATCCTCCCTTTCACTGTGCTTGCCAAATTGAAATCTACTTGACAGAGAGTTTGTCTGGAAGACAGACTATGTAGAGCACTAGATCCCAAGACTGAAAATGCAGTCACTTTTGGCTCATTTTAAATACTAGCTTTCCAAGGAGGTGGTAGTTCTGTAGCAAAGTCATGTATCAACTTTTGTCCTGCAGTCTTGAATAATTGGAGGTGGTCTTTTCCTTTAGAAAGAGAAGAATTCAAATGTTAAAACCAAAGATACGCCTCCACAAGCCAGCATCTTCTCAAATCCTAATGCTGCACACAGTCCCAAGTATTTAATCCTCACTGTATTTTCTCCCCATTTTCTTGTTCTTTCCTAAAGAAAAATTGTATGGGCTGATTTCCCATAACTTCTGTTCTGTGTTTGGTGCACATATCTTATTGCTTATCAAGAAAATTGTTTTCAGGATTACATTCATCGTGTTGGGAGAACAGCTCGAGCTGGGAGATCTGGCAAATCTATCACCTTTGTCACACAGTAAGTGTTAAAATGTGGCAGACTTATTCTTCCCAGCTGTGTTTCAGAGCAGAAAACATCTGACCTCATCCTGGGTGAAACAAAACACTACTTTTCATTTTGAGGTGCCAGTTGGATTTATTTAGTTAAAGGTGAGAGAATTCAAAGCCCAGGGTGGGGAGGGAGAAAGGTCTAGGATAAATTCTAGAAGCAGGCATGTAATGAGCAGAACTAACTGTTTATAACTTTATTGTATAATATACGTACATTTTTATAATATATAATGCAGGTTAAGTGTGGGTGTTTTGCCAAATACTTCTCAACAGTGACGAGCTGAATAAATCAGTGAAGCCATCCCAAACAGCAGCATTATTCGGATGCAATTAGGAGTTGCTCGTGAGACCATCAGCACAAGCTAACAGTATCTCTGGGCTGGAGATAAGGAGTGATGTCTGTGAGTGGTGACAGCTGAAGCACTCTCAGGAGAGCTGATTCAAGCTGGCATCTTGTCTTTTCTCAGGTACGATGTAGAGCTGTTCCAGCGCATTGAACACCTGATTGGCAAGAAACTGCCAGCGTTCCCCATGCAAGAGGAGGAAGTTATGATGCTGACAGAGCGTGTGGCTGAGGCCCAGAGATTTGCTCGAATGGTGGGTGCTGGCTTTTTGTCTCTCTCCTTGCTGTTGTAGTCTGAATTTCCTCAGGTGCCAGAACTCTTGGTCAATGTCTTGATTGCATTGCAGGAGCTGCGGGAGCAGGGAGAGAAGAAGCGATCTCGGAATGATGATGATGACACAGAAGAAGCTATTGGTGTCAGGAATAAGGTGGCAGGTGGGAAAAAGAAGAAAAGGAAAGCCTTCTAGTTCAGTATTTGGACGGACTTTTTTATTTTTCTATTTATGGCTACATGATCTGAGCAAAAACAGTCTACCAAGCCATGTCCAGTGGATTTTTCTTTTCAGAACTACTTCTTATGAAAATTGGGCAGTCCACCTGGAAAACAACTTCCTCTCTTCTGCTTCACCAGTTACAGACTGAGCTTTGCCCATTGTGGTACCATGGGACCAGTCTTCCTTTCAGAGACACCAGATCATCACCTCTGGACCTGAAAGCAGCTGTGGTCTGGCCCTGCTCATTCACAGAGAAGTGCAGCTTTCCCACTGCTGCAGCCTGTCTCACTACTCAAACTCACTGAGTGCATCTGGGGTCAGATAGGTCTGTCAGAATAAAGAGAGGAAAAAGTTAAAAGCAGCAACTGAGTTTCCACAACACAGCTGTGATGCCCTTGCCTTAGCAAAGGGATATGTGATGTGGAGAACTCCAAATATATTTTGCTTAATTTTAAAGCTATCTGGTTTTCCTTGTCTTATCACTGACCTGTTCTGCTCATGTTGAATACTGGGTCTGCCAGAAGGTTTTCTTATTAGGTCAATCTTAGCGATTCAGATGTGACATCAGTACTTTAGATGTGTCAGCTGAGGAGAGGCCCAGCACAGAGAGTGCCTTTTTCAGTAGGATTAGGCTATTCACTGCCTGGAATTCGATCCAAAATCTGTAATGATTGGCAAGATCAAGGAGAAGTCTGGGTTTTGGGGTGGGGTTTTTTGTGGCCGATTCTTGTAGTACTTACAAACCAACACAAGAGGGTGGTATTTACATGGGAATGCAGTTCATGAGCTGGGTGGTGAAGAAAACCAGGTATAGAGGCTCTTTCATGGAATCATAGAATGCTTTGGGTTGGAAGGGACCTTTAGAGGTCATCTAGCCCACCCCCCCTGCAGTCAGCAGGGACAGCTTTAACTAGATCAGGTTGCTCAGAGCCCCGTCCAACCTGACCTTGAATGTTGCCAGGGATGGGGCCTCCACCACCTGTCTGGGCAACCTATTCCAGTGCTTCGCCACCCTCACTGTAAAAAATTTCTTCCTTATATCCAGTCTAAATCTACCTTCCTTTATTTTAAAACCATTATTCCTTGTCCTGTCACAACAGGCCTTGCTAAAAAGATTGTCTCCACCTTTCCTATAGGCCCCCTTTAAGTACTGAAAGGCTGCAATAAGGTCTCCTCGCAGCCTTCTCTTCTCCAGGCTGAGCAACCCCAACTCTCTCAGCCTGTCCTCATAGGAGAGGTGCTCCAGCCCTCGGATCATTTTTGTGGCCCTCCTCTGGACCTGCTCCAACAGTTCGTTCTGTTTCCCTATTTATTTCTCTGTCTTAGGCAGAGTTCAGTGCCATATAAGTAGACTCTTGCAAAAAATGGGATAAATGTACTTATCTTCGTATCAAATAAGAAGGTTAGTGCTAGTTCCCATTGGCAATAAAAATTTTCAGACTGGACATTTCTGCTGGTGGGCAGAGAAGAGTGAGAGGCTCCTTCGTGATCACTCAATATGAAAATGTAACGTCCCTTAGAACCACTAGTAAACTGTATTTTCTGCTTCATGAAAAACAATGTTCAAAAGATTCTTTTTTAGATCTAAAGGGAAAGCAGAAACTACCGCAGTAGTCAAGATGAGCACAATGGTTACTTCATAGTGTCAACATTAATATACACATATGCTTTTAATTGGGGCAGCACATTTTGCAAAATTATAAAAAAGCATGGTTAAAACGAAGAGGAACATGTTTTTTCTTTTTTGTTTAAAACAGCTCTGTTGTCTTCATGAAGAACAAACATACTGTCTGGTGTGAGTCGAGTGCCAGTGTTCTTATTTTGTCCTTTTTTCTGTAGCAATTTACTCAAATCTGCCAAATACCTTCAAGTTTGATAGCTCTAAAGCAGTCTATGTTGACTGCTAAGAGCATTCTTATAAAGCAGGAAGAGAGTGTGTGTCTTCTGTGGGTCCTAGTGTGGAGAGGCAGGAGTGGAAGCCCAGTAACAAGAATGTGTTAATTCTGCAGGACCCTTTGATAGGGATCCCCACAAGAGGAAACAACCCTAGAACGCACTGGGAGGGGTGTATGTGGGGGTGTGTAAAATGAGTGAGCATATGGGTGGAGATGCAAATGCTCATTCCCCCATGGAGCAAGGGGACTCTCCTGACTGGCCTTCTGTCCTGCTGGATGCTTGAACAAAATTTATCCTTCACAGGCAGGACAGGGTTGGTCTCGCTATCAGCAAATGATGATTAAATTCCTTTGAGACTCATGGGTCTCTGGAAAACCTCTTAAGTGTTATTCCCTGATGTGTAACGGGTGGCATGCAGAGTCCGTTCTGAACCAATCTTGTAAAGTGATGTGAAGGGCAATTTTACTGCTAGAAGAGGTAGGGCAGGGTCATTCCTTTCCAAAGTAGTCTGAGGCTTTCTTTAATACATTGGTGGAGTCTCTAGCATCTCTGTTCTTTCCTGTGTGGAAGGCTGCAACAGCAGAGGGGATCTGTCTTGCCCCTTGATGGGATCAAAGATTCTCTATCCTTCCTCTGCAGTTGCAGGAAGAACACAGAAGTTGGTCTGCTCATTGTAAAAGGGTGCAGACCCTCCTTGAGAGGAGTGATTCCTACGTAGCTGGCCACCTGCCTTGATTTGGAATGACAAGCCGTAGAGACACTTGGCACTAGAAAAGCAAAGGTCTCACCACACCCACATTCTCACTGGTGGCCTCACCTGCCACAGGTATGTGCATTCAATTTCAACTAAAAATATCTCAACAGGTTAGAGGGGCAGGAAATAGTTTCTTCTTGTGACTACACCATGAGGGCCAGGTCAGAGAGTGTTTGTATGACTGAAGTGGAATAGGGAGTGTCTGAAGATGTATTTGGTCAAAACAGAATTTGCAGCCAGGCTAAAGCAAAATCTGTAGCTGATCTAATGAAACATGAGGGGAAAAGAATGGAGAGAGACCTGTCTCTCTGGATAAAAGACAATTCAGAAAATACCAGCACTGGTATGTGTGTGGCTGCATGCTTTTGTAGAACAACTGATGCCAGTGTTTGTTCAGTCAGAAGGACTCTTGAGGGGCAGTTCTGAAGCACACCTCTCTGTACACTTCTCAAGCCTGCACAGTAGGGAGCTGAAGTTGAGGATAAATCTTAGTGATGCAAGGCAGGATAGGGCTAACACAACCTGTCATTTTTTTGTGGTTGAAACTCAAGTAAAGTTTCAAGAAAAGCTGTGTTCTCTGAAGATGTTCAGTGGGGATGTTTGCAATTTGAAACAATTCTACACTTCCCAAGTCCATAATTAGAAGGTGATTGTTTATATACTTGTAATACATATTTTAAATAACGTTTTATAGTTTTGTTTTCTAATGCTGCATAGGTGCCTACCTTGGGCAATAAAGAATGGGGATATAGTGTCTTTCATATAAATGTTCCAGAGCTAGCAGAAACGGGACAATCTTTTGGAGGGGAGGAGTAAAATTAAACACTGATACCAGTGATGAAAACAGGGTGAAAGCAGTAGGAAACCAAAATTTGTGTTTCAGTTTTATCACTACTCCACATGAAGATAAGTGAGGATAGCTGCAAAAAGTAGTGGTCCAGAGCAGAAGCTGAACTGGATTGACATGTCTGAAATGCATTTGGCTGTCTTCCCCAGTGCCATGCAAGGGACGACGTGGGCAGGAAATCACAGCTGGGATCCAGGGTGGGGGAATTCAGGGCTTTTTTCTGTGGTGGCAGCCTGAGCCTAAGTCTGTTTAAAATAATCATGAGGAACACAGCCTGTTCAAGGACCTGGCAGCCCCCTTTCCTCCCTGCCCCAGAACAGTAGATATGACCAAGGAGGAGAGCTAAGTATGGTGACTTTCTAGTGACACCATTAACTTGTGCTGAGAAGAGGCTCGGTTTAGGAGGGAACTCTCAGAGTAAGAAGTGATAGGGAATCTGGAGGGACTTAGTTTACAAAGCAGGACTGAAATTAGTAAACATTCCCAGTTTAGCCAAGCACTGAAGAAGGAAACTATCCAACATACTTATTAGCCCTTGGAAATACTTAAGGAGGAATGGAATTGATTGCATGACCTGTAAAAGACACAGGCATGTACCAAGCATTTTGATGTTGTATAAATGTGAAGTTGTGGTTTGCCTGTAATGGCACGTGAGGAGCTTCTGTAAACATTCAAGTGAGCAATTAATTCTTCTAAATGTTGCAGAGCAAATGCTGTAAAAATCCAGCTTTGGTGCCAGAAGTAGTCCATGTAGTCATTCTGAATTCTTGCTTATGCACTTACCAACAGATTTTTTTTTGGGGGGGAAAACTACCATTGTGTATATGTGGAGAATCAGAATATGAGTTTCTGACAGAATCCCAAGCTTTGAGGTTAACTCCTGAGCTTTTTTTTTTTTTTTTTAAGAAAAAAAAGTTAAAAGACACTTTCTTAGTCTTCAGATGGCTTTTTTTCCTGGTCAGACTATGAACGCTCCTGAATAATATTTAAAAGGGAGAACTAAGGATGTTTCGTTCCTCTGGCACCTAAGAAATAAGAATAGTCGCTTGCTCTCTGGCCCAAGGATGAATACAGCCATGCCTCCAGTGCTGCATCTCTTCCTGAGGACCCTTCAGGTATGGAAACTTACGATGATGACAATAGCACTTTCTCTCTGTTTCCAAAGCCCCCCTGGGACACAGGTATGTGGCTTCCTGGACATGATAATCAAGTATATGTCATGTTTCATGGTAAGATGTGTGTTGGAGCATGCCAAGGTTGTGCCTAGTTGTGCAATAGGAGACAGTAGCACTGTGGAGTCTTCAGCTGTTGTCATTGTAGGTCCTCAGGAAGGGGTGGATGCTCTTGGAGCTTGTTCACCACTTTTTCAGGGCAGCATCTACAAGCCTGAAGCTATGTTTCCTAGAGGTTAGTACAGAGTAATTTTGTGTGCCCAAAGGGAAGAGTACTATTTTTATCTTTGCCTTCTCTGCTGGAGGATCCTCACTGTTGCAGAGATGTACATGCCGCTTTGTTGCTTTTCCCTAAAATAAAGTCTAGGGATAGGACTCTGTCAAAAGTTTCTGCCTTCCCTTGGGCTTGGTGCTTGCTAAGGCTTCCTGAGAAAAGGGAAATGCAATGTGGGCCTTCTATGCACAAAGGGGGAAATGTTTTGCCTTCCATTCAAATCCTGGCAAAGGCAGAAAAAGAATCCTGTTGACAGACCTCTCAGAGAGACTATTCCTTCTGTCTGTCACTTCCTCCTCCCTATTAGATATTGTCAAGGAAGGCAGTTTTTTTGGCACGTGTTTCCCATTTGGACTGATTTAAGTCCCCTTTAATCCTCAAGATTTTCACCCACAAACATCTCTGTGTAAAGAAAGGCAAATAGCAAAACTTGCTCTGCAAGTCATCTGTGTGAGGTAGAGGGAGGGTTG